TGGAAGAGCAAACCTCTGAACATTGAATAGCGTAGTTTGACATTAACAAGTAAAACGTGGAAGAGCAAACCTCTGAACATTGAATGGCGTAGTTTGACATTAACAAGTTAAACGTGGAAGAGCAAACCTCTGAACATTGCGTAATTTGACATAAACAAGTAAAACGTGAAAGAGCAAACCTCTGAACATTACATTGCCTAGTTTGACAATAACAAGTAAAACGTGGAAGAGCAAACCTCTGAACATTGAATGGCGTAGTTTGACATTAACAAGTAAAAACGTGGAAGAGCAAACCTCTGAACACTGAATAGCGTAATTTGACATTAACAAGTAAAACGTGGAAGAGCAAACCTCTGAACATTGAATGGCGTAGTTTGACATTAACAAGTAAAACGTGGAAGAGCAAACCTTTTGAACATTGCGTAGTTTGACATTAACAAGTAAAACGTGGAAGAGCAAACCTCTGAACATTGAATAGCGTAATTTGACATTAACAAGTAAAACGTGGAAGAGCAAACCTCTGAACATTGAATGGCGTAGTTTGACATTAACAAGTAAAACTTGGAAGAGCAAACCTCTGAACATTGAATAGCGTAGTTTGACATTAACAAGTAAAACGTGGAAGAGCAAACCTCTGAACATTGAATGGCGTAGTTTGACATTAACAAGTAAAACGTGAAGAGCAAACCTCTGAACATTGAATAGCGTAGTTTGACATTAACAAGTAAAACGTGGAAGAGCAAACCTCTGAACATTGAATAGCGTAATTTGACATTAACAAGTAAAACGTGGAAGAGCAAACCTCTGAACATTGAATAGCGTAATTTGACATTAACAAGTAAAACGTGGAAGAGCAAACCTCTGAACATTGAATGGCGTAATTTGACATTAACAAGTAAAACGTGGAAGAGCAAACCTCTGAACATTGAATGGCGTAATTTGACATTAACAAGTAAAACGTGGAAGAGCAAACCTCTGAACATTGAATGGCGTAATTTGACATTAACAAGTAAAACGTGGAAGAGCAAACCTCTGAACATTGAATGGCGTAATTTGACATTAACAAGTAAAACGTGGAAGAGCAAACCTCTGAACATTGAATGGCGTAGTATGACATTAACAAGTAAAACGTGGAAGAGCAAACCTCTGAACATTGAATAGCGTAATTTGACATTAACAAGTAAAACGTGGAAGAGCAAACCTCTGAACATTGAATGGCGTAGTTTGACATTAACAAGTAAAACGTGGAAGAGCAAACCTCTGAACATTGAATAGCGTAGTTTGACATTAACAAGTAAAACGTGGAAGAGCAAACCTCTGAACATTGAATGGCGTAGTTTGACATTAACAAGTTAAACGTGGAAGAGCAAACCTCTGAACATTGCGTAATTTGACATTAACAAGTAAAACGTGAAAGAGCAAACCTCTGAACATTAGATTGCCTAGTTTGACAATAACAAGTAAAACGTGGAAGAGCAAACCTCTGAACATTGAATGGCGTAGTTTGACATTAACAAGTAAAAACGTGGAAGAGCAAACCTCTGAACACTGAATAGCGTAATTTGACATTAACAAGTAAAACGTGGAAGAGCAAACCTCTGAACATTGAATGGCGTAGTTTGACATTAACAAGTAAAACGTGGAAGAGCAAACCTTTTGAACATTGCGTAGTTTGACATTAACAAGTAAAACGTGGAAGAGCAAACCTCTGAACATTGAATGGCGTAGTTTGACATTAACAAGTTAAACGTGGAAGAGCAAACCTCTGAACATTGCGTAATTTGACATTAACAAGTAAAACGTGAAAGAGCAAACCTCTGAACATTACATTGCCTAGTTTGACAATAACAAGTAAAACGTGGAAGAGCAAACCTCTGAACATTGAATGGCGTAGTTTGACATTAACAAGTAAAAACGTGGAAGAGCAAACCTCTGAACACTGAATAGCGTAATTTGACATTAACAAGTAAAACGTGGAAGAGCAAACCTTTTGAACATTGCGTAGTTTGACATTAACAAGTAAAACGTGGAAGAGCAAACCTCTGAACATTGAATAGCGTAATTTGACATTAACAAGTAAAAACGTGGAAGAGCAAACCTCTGAACATTGAATGGCGTAGTTTGACATTAACAAGTAAAACTTGGAAGAGCAAACCTATGAACATTGAATAGCGTAGTTTGACATTAACAAGTAAAACGTGGAAGAGCAAACCTCTGAACATTGAATGGCGTAGTTTGACATTAACAAGTAAAACGTGAAGAGTAAACCTCTGAACATTGAATAGCGTAGTTTGACATTAACAAGTAAAACGTGGAAGAGCAAACCTCTGAACATTGAATAGCGTAATTTGACATTAACAAGTAAAACTTGGAAGAGCAAACCTCTGAACATTGAATAGCGTAATTTGACATTAACAAGTAAAACGTGGAAGGGCAAACCTCTGAACATTGAATGGCGTAATTTGACATTAACAAGTAAAACGTGGAAGAGCAAACCTCTGAACATTGAATAACGTAATTTGACATTAACAAGTAAAACGTGGAAGAGCAAACCTCTGAACATTGAATGGCGTAATTTGACATTAACAAGTAAAACGTGGAAGAGCAAACCTCTGAACATTGAATGGCGTAATTTGACATTAACAAGTAAAACGTGGAAGAGCAAACCTCTGAACATTGAATGGCGTAGTATGACATTAACAAGTAAAACGTGGAAGAGCAAACCTCTGAACATTGAATAGCGTAATTTGACATTAACAAGTAAAACGTGGAAGAGCAAACCTCTGAACATTGAATGGCGTAGTTTGACATTAACAAGTAAAACTTGGAAGAGCAAACCTCTGAACATTGAATAGCGTAGTTTGACATTAACAAGTAAAACGTGGAAGAGCAAACCTCTGAACATTGAATGGCGTAGTTTGACATTAACAAGTTAAACGTGGAAGAGCAAACCTCTGAACATTGCGTAATTTGACATTAACAAGTAAAACGTGAAAGAGCAAACCTCTGAACATTAGATTGCCTAGTTTGACAATAACAAGTAAAACGTGGAAGAGCAAACCTCTGAACATTGAATGGCGTAGTTTGACATTAACAAGTAAAAACGTGGAAGAGCAAACCTCTGAACACTGAATAGCGTAATTTGACATTAACAAGTAAAACGTGGAAGAGCAAACCTCTGAACATTGAATGGCGTAGTTTGACATTAACAAGTAAAACGTGGAAGAGCAAACCTTTTGAACATTGCGTAGTTTGACATTAACAAGTAAAACGTGGAAGAGCAAACCTCTGAACATTGAATAGCGTAATTTGACATTAACAAGTAAAACGTGGAAGAGCAAACCTCTGAACATTGAATGGCGTAGTTTGACATTAACAAGTAAAACTTGGAAGAGCAAACCTCTGAACATTGAATAGCGTAGTTTGACATTAACAAGTAAAACGTGGAAGAGCAAACCTCTGAACATTGAATGGCGTAGTTTGACATTAACAAGTAAAACGTGAAGAGCAAACCTCTGAACATTGAATAGCGTAGTTTGACATTAACAAGTAAAACGTGGAAGAGCAAACCTCTGAACATTGAATAGCGTAATTTGACATTAACAAGTAAAACGTGGAAGAGCAAACCTCTGAACATTGAATAGCTTAATTTGACATTAACAAGTAAAACGTGGAAGGGCAAACCTCTGAACATTGAATGGCGTAATTTGACATTAACAAGTAAAACATGGAAGAGCAAACCTCTGAACATTGAATGGCGTAATTTGACATTAACAAGTAAAACGTGGAAGAGCAAACCTCTGAACATTGAATGGCGTAGTATGACATTAACAAGTAAAACGTGGAAGAGCAAACCTCTGAACATTGAATAGCGTAATTTGACATTAACAAGTAAAACGTGGAAGAGCAAACCTCTGAACATTGAATGGCGTAGTTTGACATTAACAAGTAAAGCGTGGAAGAGCAAACCCTCTGAACATTGAATGGCGTAATTTGACATTAACAAGTAAAACGTGGAAGAGCAAACCTCTGAACATTGAATAGCGTAATTTGACATTAACAAGTAAAACGTGGAAGAGCAAACCTCTGAACATTGAATGGCGTAATTTGACATTAACAAGTAAAACGTGGAAGAGCAAACTTCTGAACATTGAATATCGTAATTTGACATTAACAAGTAATGGCAAGTTGACATTGTTTGTGTAAACACAAATGCCCAAGTTGCAAAAATTATAGAACGCCCCTCGCATATGTCGGGTCACCGAAATGAAGCGTCCATTCGAAGCTATAACATTGAATCACTGAACTCCACACTGTTGTGTATTGCTTCGAGAAATCCAACCGCGCCGCTTCAAGCGGCAATCCCCGTCATCAGCAGCCGTAGTATGACTCATTATAAAACTACTGTCTGTTTGTGTAACTCGATATGGAGTTCATATCTGTATCCCAGATACGGCCCCCTCGGGACGTTCCCTCGTGTGAGGGTTAACAATCTCTAGTAATCCCTCTGAGACATGATTTTTCCTACACAACACACCCAAAGGTCGCTCATCATGGAATTAGTTCACGTGAAGCAATGTCTTCATGAATAGTAAACCCCTGGACATTGAATAGTAAACCCCTGGACATTGAATAGTAAACCCCTGGACCCTGAATAGTAAACCCCTGGACCCTGAATAGTAAACCCCTGGACCCTGAATAGTAAACCCCTGGACATTGAATAGTAAACACAAACACTGAATAGTAAACACCAGGACATTGAATAGTAATCACAACAATTTAATAGTAAACACAAAAATTGAATAGTAAACACAAAAATTGAATAGTAAACACAAACATTGAAAAGTAAACACAAACATTGAATAGCGAACACCCGGACCCGTCAAACACCTTAACAGTTTCCACTAAAACAATTGAAATAAGGTTCAAAATGTTTTTCAAACATTGTTGTTATTTTGGAAGTGACGAAAATGGTATAAATCAGTTATCACCGAACTTACCTCCAAGTTTGGGAGAACAGGGATGACAGGGTTCACTCGGTATGCCTCACGCGACTGTGATGTCTAGTAGCAGATTGATCCTGTACGCTGCTTATAGTGTGAGGGAAGACTATATCGACCATCAATAAACATGAGCGCAAACCCTCCTCTTTAGGCATCCGGCATACCACTTAATGTGTTGTGGTATACCGGCAATTGTACACTCTTGTGTCTTATCAGTGTACACAGCCGGTACAAGTAAATTAGTCACGATATGGCTGAAATGTTGCCGATGTGACTTTAAATATTAACTCACTCACTCACTCACTCACAAGTAAATTAGACTGGGATGTTTACAAAAAATGCATCGAAATTTGTGCTCATAAGCTTAGGGCGAAATACATTGTATTGATTTCTCACTCTGCAATAAACACATAAACAAAACAGCTGCGTGCAGCGATGTTGGGCTCTATGATTTCTCATACCACTGAGTCATTTAGTTCGAGCCTACTTGAACCCACTTTATTATAAATACAGTGCACATAAGAATTATATAATGTAATTAACAATTTTATCTTCCACTGGTCCGTTTTGACGAAATTGATGGGTGCCGGAGCATTCTTGGGGGTTCGTAACCCATTCCAGTGCTCGTTCATATTCGAACCCTAAAAAGGTTTGCTTGTACCAATGCCATACAAATTAAGGCATCGATTGCGGCATAACAAGGCTACTTAAAAGGCCTTTCAGACCTCGACCATGTTCGAATCCTCAAATGGTTTGGTTGTACCAGCGCCGTCAAAGATTTAGCACTGGTTGTGGCATATCACTGCTACGACATTGGCATGTTCTGGAGTATCCCAGTGTGTTCTAAGCACATTTCTGACCTAAACCATGTTCAAATCCTCACATGGCTTGCTTGTACTATCAAAAGATAGTCACCGCTTGCAGAACATTGTCGTGTGCCAGAGTTTCAGAGGGCTACTTAACTCATTTCCAACCTCGACCATGTTCGCATCCTTACATGGTTTGCTTGTGCCAACGCGTCTAATGTATGCAGCGCTTGCGGGACATCGCCGCTACGGAATTGATGGTTCCGGGGTGTACCCTATATCTTCTAAACCCATTTCTTACTTCGACCATGTTTGAATCCTCAAAGAGTTTGCTTGTACCAACGGCGTCAAATGTAAGAAACCGCTCGTGAGACATCACCACAACGAAATTGACATGTGCCTGGGTGTCCTATGGTGTTTTCACCAATGTCCGACTTCGACCATTTTCGAATCTTCAAATGGTTTGTTTGTACCAACGCCGTCAAACGTAAGGGAAATGCTTGCGAGACATCACCACATGTGTCCCAGTGAGTTCCATGTTTGAGTTTGACCATGTTCGAATCCTCAAATGGTTTGCTTGTACCACTGCTGTCAAATGTAGGCACCGGTTGCGGACATCGCCTCTATAATATTTGCATGTGCCTGGTGTCCAATGCTGTTCTGAACCCATCTCCGACCTCGAATCCTCAAAGGGTTTGCTTGTACCAACTCCGTCAAAAGATAGCCACCGTTTGCAGGACATCACCGCTACGAAGTTTTAGTGTGCCAGAGTGAACCAGAGTGTTCTAAACCCATTTCCGACCTAGATCATGTTCGAATCCTCAAAAGGTTTGCTTTTAACAATCCAAGTAAGGTACGGTAGCATTTGGCAATTTGGAAATGAAGTAGCAAGTCAGGGAGCCTGACCACCCGATCCCGATAATCGCCTCTTAACACAAGCATGGGTTGCTGAAGACCAATTCTAACCCTCATCTTCAAGGGTAGTCGACAGTAAAAGAGATGCCGATTTTGGCCCAAAATCAAATATTACCACCAAGCAGTGTTACTATTAGCATGCAACCAAGAACAAAAATAAGGTACATATGTAAAACTAACTTCATGCAAACTTTCAATAGTTTCTGTCAAGAACCTTACCTTATTTGGTGAAACAAATGATCAAAATCAAAATCCAATATTGCCGCAACTATAAAAGATATCTAATGACAGCTATTACGGTTTTGATGTGTTGTGTATGGAGACCAATCTCAGAAAGTTTTGAAGCATTTCATTCAGTGGATTCAGAGTTCTATGCTTTTGAAGACATGTACCAAAAAAAAACCACACTGTGAAAACCTTTAATTCAATATGGCTGCCAAACCACGTAAACAATGGCCAAAGTCAAAGAACAAAAATTGTCAAGCACTCAGGTCTGGTATCGGTGCTCCATGCGACGCGTGAAAGCTTCAGCTTCAAGTTTAGCCCTTCGCTGCTTCAATTCTGGAGGTAAATCCGTTCTGAAGACTAATTTTTCCTTCGTCAAATCTTTAAGGAACTTGAAATGTGTCTGCATAACAAGGTCTCTATCTTGTTGACTAATGAATTTGACAATAACCGGGTCTGGGCTCTGTATCCTTTTGTGCTGAACGGGCAAACGATGAATGTTCACAAATTTCATATTCCTCACAATTTCAGAATCTCACAATTCCTCACAATTTCAGAATCTATTTGTAGTGTCCTTCGCGTCTGTATGGTCTTCTGTGGAATCAGGCATTCCATATATTAGCTTTTCTTGAGTATAGAGAGAGAGTTTATTGCAGTAAAGGGGCCACCAGCCCATTATACAATACATATTTCATTGATTTTTTCAATTCAATTGAGCGCCATACAATATTATACATTGGTCAATCAAAGTGACAATTAATTAATATTGAGTTGTTTACATCTTTTTTTCATTGACAGGAAAATATATTTCGCTAAGACATTAACAGTGTAGGCATTTTGTGATGACAGTAGTTGTTGGAATTTAAAAAGAGTTGGGTTTTGTACATAGTATTTCGGTAATAGACTTCTTATATCATTATAGAATGGGCATATCATACAAAAATGGTATTCAGTTTCGACACAAGGTACGATACACAATGGACAGAATCTTTCATTCGCACTTATACCAAGTGTACGTCCGTATTCAATCATAAGTTTATGGTTTGAACATCTAAATTTAATCAGAGCATTTTTATAAGGATGTACAATGACAAGTGATAAGTATTCTTCAAATTTAAAGACAGTCTTAACAGACTGGTACATTTTCAATTTAGAATATTTTGACAAATCCTCAAACCACATTTGGTAATCAATCTCTTTACAACGCTCTTCAAACTCTGACAAAAAGGAAGTGATACAATTAACATTTTGGTTTTTCCAAACAAATCCAAAACCGTACTTAAATAAAAGCATTTTAACATTATATGCCCAACAACTCTTGTCTAATTCAGCTAACCTATATTGAAAAGAATATGCCTGCTGTAGAATCACATTATCTTGTTGATAAATTAATCTCAGCCAATACTTAATTATTTTGATGTACATCTTAGCTTTTAATGAACAATATCCAACTTCACCTCTAGCAACAACATTTGGTGTGCTTCTACCAAGACAGAGTAATTGCTTAAAGTAAGTATCGTAAACACGGGTTGCGTCTGGCGATGGATGAAAACCCCAAATTTCAGATCCATAAGTCAACACTGGAAACAATTTAACATAAAAAATATACAGCAATACCGGCAATGATAAATTTCTAAAATTATTACATTGGGAGCGCATTGTATTCAAAACCTTGGACATTTGAAAAGACAGAGTTTTCTGTGTTTTATACCAGGAACCACTGCTAGAGAACTGAACACCTAAATATTTATAGGAAGGAACTATTTCTAATGGTCTATTGGCAAGATAAAACTTTTCATAGTTCCTAAGTCTACCACCTTTTCTAAAAACAACTACTTTTGTTTTCTCAACATTAACACAGAGGCTCCATTTTTTACAATAAACAGATAATTTGTCAAGTCTTTTTTGTAGACCCTTTACTGTACTATCGAAGAGTGCCATGTCATCTGCAAACAGTAACATAAAAATATTACAAATACCCAGTTCTATACATCTGTCCTCATCTACATTCAAAAAATCTATAATATCATTAATATACAATGAAAAAAGTAGTGGAGATATATCTCTGACACATCTAGCACAACTTCGATTCTCGCGCCGTGGAATTTTCTATCTCGACCTCGTGTGAAGCCATTGTGCTTTTCTTGGTGTTGGTAGGTGGGGAAATTGTCTTCACATTTCTGCCAGAAGAATCTTCGATATACCTGTCCATCGTGGTGTTGTTTGATGCTTTGGTTGAAATGCCACCCCTTGGAGGGTTTTTACGGGATGCTGCCGACATTTGTAGATTGAGATCCATACCGGAAGTCCAGTGAGTTAAAATTCAATGAAGCATCGGCATCATTGCAGCCATATAGTGACGAGAACAAGTTGATATATACACAACTTAGTCGAAAATACAAAGTTATGTTTAAAAACAAATTTATCAAACATATTTGGGTATAATAATATTATTTAAAATACATTTTAAAACGCGGGCTATAGAAGCCAGTAACCAAAGGTCACCTGATCTATATGGCATTGGCAAATGGAAATGATATGATCATATCTGCTAGGGAGTAGGCGATGAAATCGAATGGCTTCTAATGCTTGGTGTGATGCGCTGGTGGCGCACTAGATCGTTCATGAGGTCAGGGGTCAAATTCGAAATTTGCATTTTGCAGTCAACGTCACTACTGTCGGGTAAAACGACCTCTGTAGGCCAGACATGCACGAGGCATGCTTCTGATGAGTCGACCAATGTCACCTTGACATCTGTTGTTCCACTCATCAGTGAGAGCAACATAGAGTTCATTGAGAGTTGTGGGTGGATTTTGACGTTGACGTTGACGTAAACGTCTGCCAATGTCTCCCCAGTCGTGTTCAAAGGGGAACTTGTGCGTGCGTGCTTGCGTGTGTGTGTGTGGCTATGTGTGCTTGTAATAGTCCGGACTAATGACCGTTATAGAGCTAGCCCACTGAGATACCATGCCGCAGTTTAAGATGAATACCACACTCAGACTCAGTATACTGACTCCGAGCCGACCAATGCTTGTTTAGTCTCGTACTGTCGAGCGCCAGGAAGGGTTACAAATACCATCTTTTTACGTCAACAAACCATGTCGTCTGAGCTGTACCCTCAAACATTCTATGTACAGATACTTCACTCACAAGCAGACCTGCATATCTTACAGGATCTTACAGCAACAGACCTCACAGATCATTAAACCAGAGGTCACCTCAAGACAATAATGTGGACAATGAAGCTTTGGTGAGGACAATAGATGGATACATTAATCAAACCTGTCAAACCCAAAGCCCACACCAAGCACAAGTCTGTAAAAACCCTTACAGTGTGAAGTTGAACATTAAATAAGACTGCCTTCTTCTCTTGGACATACCTTCAACGAGACTATCAGAAAAGATGGAGTGAGGACATGTTTATCATTTGAAGACAATAAAGATGGCGTGCCTGTTTATCATGTGAACTACATGCAGATGATCTGGTTTAAGGCAATGAAAATAAAATGCAGTGACCTGACAAGCGGCGAGTGGAAAAAGACAAAGCGATAATTAAAAAGAAGTCTTTGTCTGAAGGATGGCGAATTCTCAACAGTTCAACAGCTGAATCCCAAAAATCAATCTGCAGGAGTATAAGTAGTAAATATGTAACAGCAGACCGCAAGTACTGTCACCCATGGAGTCCACATGTCCAGAATGTCAGAAGGTGGTGCGATGAACACGTCAATGTTATATGAACATGTTTTTTGAATAGATGTCGGTTTCAAGATAGCTGGAGTAGCTTCCTTGACATTGTTTTCATATAAACAACAAAATGGCATTGGCAAAGTTTTTCAAGTTTTATTACAGGTATCTGTATTCACATAGAACATAATCAACAACACAATATATGGACAAATAGAGTAATAGTTAATCATTATCTACTCAAGTGGTAACTGAAGGATGTTTAAATTCTAATTAAAGTCACTTTATCCCAAACATATGTAGTCCTTGCATGAAAGCTACTCAAGTTGTAATTGAGACATACCCTTAACCAACAAATAACATGTTGTGAGAGATTATTACATGTGATCTAGGCATTTGTTTGTTTCATACTACGTTATACCCCCTTTGCTGTGTGTTTTTCCTTTCCATCAAAGGACATTGAGTACATTTGGGGGCTAAGACCAATAGAGACCAACGTACATTCCCCTAGCTCGTCCTTCATTTTTCCCTAGACTTTGGCATTCCTTTTTTAATACATGGGGTGACTAGGGTCATACTTAAGGGTATAATAATGGTCGACATGCTCCTTCATATCTGGACAAAGATCTAGAGTTCGAATTCCAGGGGCAGTTGCACGTCGATATGAATGGATTATATTTCAAAATACCTCTTGTTCCTGCGGTTTCAATAACTTTTCCTTCTCATGTGTAAATTACTCACATGCAAGAAGCAATATGTGTTTCTACAATTTAATATAAACTCGGTTTTGTGTGGTCACTCAAATAGAACAAGAGGTATACACACCATACACTGTTTGAAAGGAGTGATATTTTAATAGGGAATCCCTGTTTATCGATCCCCTTCCAATGAAATCTAATCTATCTATGCTGTTTAAATCACATTGTCAGATAAGTGTTGTACGAATGCTTGTATTAAGTATAAATAAATAAGGCGTTTTTTCTCAGAACCCATGCATCATAAAATGCTACTGGATATTGGTACAGTCAATTTCCATGTATACTCGGGAGGTATGCCACCGACAATGAAAATATGGATGTTTAAAACACAATATACATCATACAATAAATAAGATAGCTACGCGATAAATCGCAAAGATCAATGAAAGAACGAAACGTGGTTCACAGATAAAAATTTGTTGCGCTCGCAACTTGATGCTGTCGTATGTTTGACAACGTTATTGTTTATGTAGATGTAGCAGGGCAACTCAGATAAACGCGATGGCCAAACGATCGCATCCAAAACATGGCGAGAGAAAAGGCACAGGTAATCGACGTGAGGATTGTGGGGATATGCGGGAAATGCCCACCCGTGCATAAATAGACGTGTCCGACGTTGCCGAGGTTTAACGTACAATAAAACCCTGCAGGGACTGTTGTACGATAACCAACTCCAACACGAGAAAGTAGGGTAACATAGCGAGGCAACGCTAAGATTATTGCGATTTAACGAGCTACTATAGCGAGGGAATGCTAGGGATATTGCGAATGTATGAGGTATTATAGTAAGGAAACGCTAGGAATACTGTGAGGGAACAAGGTACAGTATGCAAGGGAATGGTGGGAATATTGCAAAGGAACGAGATACTGTCGCGAGATAACAAGGTACTATAGCGAGGGAACGGTAGGAATATAGGGTGGGAACGAGGTACTACGGTGATGAAACAAGGTACTATAGCGAGGGAACGGTAGGAATATAGGGTGGGAACGAGGTACTACAGTGATGAAACAAGGTACTATAGCGAGGGAACGGTAGGAATATAGAGTGGGAACGAGGTACTACAGTGATGAAACAAGGTACTATAGCGAGGGAACGGTAGGAATATAGGGTGGGAAGGAGGTACTACAGTGATGAAACAAGGTACTATAGCGAGGGAACGGTAGGAATATAGGGTGGGAAGGAGGTACTACAGTGATGAAACAAGGTACTATAGCGAGGGAACGGTAGGAATATAGGGTGGGAAGGAGGTACTACAGTGATGAAACAAGGTACTATAGCGAGGGAACGGTAGGAATATAGGGTGGGAAGGAGGTACTACAGTGATGAAACAAGGTACTATAGCGAGGGAACGGTAGGAATATAGGGTGGGAACGAGGTACTACAGTGATGAAACAAGGTACTGTAGCGAGGGAACGGTCGGAATATAGGGTGGGAATGAGGTACTACAGTGATGAAACAAGGTACTATAGCGAGGGAACGGTAGGAATTTTGGGTGGGAAGGAGGTACTACAGTGATGAAACAAGGTACTGTAGCGAGGGAACGGTAGGAATATAGGGTGGGAATGAGGTACTACAGTGATGAAACAAGGTACTATAGCGAGGGAACTTGTAACCTGGGTATCTGTAGGCTATTGAGTGAAACACGAAATGAAATCACAATGCTTTTTAGAATCTCATTTTCAAGAACACAACTATAGGCAACAAGACAAATTTTGCTTCAATTGTTTTTCGGTTTACATATAAGATAACACATCTTCGGGTGGAACGTCAACTACATGCACAAATAGAATCTTAATGGCTTGTGAATGCACACTTCTCTCTGTCAAAAATATTTACGAATAGCCTTCCCTCGCTTTGGTACCTCTTTTCCTCGCAATATTCCTAGCGATCCCTTGCTATAGTATCTTGTTCCCTCGCAATAATCTTTGCGTTCCTTCACAAGAGTACCTTGTTTCCTCGCTATAGTACCTTGTTCCCTCGCTATAGTACCTCATACCATCGCAATATTCCTCATGTACCCTCGCTATAGTACCTCGTTCACTCGCAATAATCTTATCATTTCCTTCGCTATGGTACCTCATTCCTTTGCAATATCCCTAGCGTTCCCTGGCTATAGTACCTCATTCAATCGCAATAATCTTCACGTTCCCTCGCTATAGTTCCTTGTTCTCTCGCTATAGTACCTTGTTTCCTCGCTATAGTACCTTGTTCCCTCGCTATAGTACCTTGTTTCCTCGCTATAGTTCCTTGTTCCCTCGCTATAGTTCCTTGTTCCCTCGCTATAGTACCTTGTTCCCTCGCTATAGTACCTCGTTCACTCGCTATAGTACCTTGTTTCCTCGCTATAGTTCCTTGTTTCCTCGCTATAGTACCTTGTTCCCTCGCTATAGTACCTTGTTTCCTCGCTATAGTTCCTTATTCCCTCGCTATAGTACCTTGTTCCCTCGCTATAGTACCTTGTTTCCTCGCTATAGTTCCTTGTTCCCTCGCTATAGTTCCTTGTTCCCTCGCTATAGCACCTTGTTTCCTCGCTGAAGTACCTCGTTCCTCGCAATAATTTTGCATTTCCTCACAATATTTATAGAATGCCCTCACTTCAATTTCGCGTTCACTTGCTGTGCTGGGTTTTACGCTCCACATGGATCAAGCACAGGGGCTGCATCGAATACGAGAATGCTCCCTGTATCTGCACGAGAACAAGGCAGACAGTAAGAGTTGAATTGGTGATATGATATTGAGGACAACGTTTTTGGTATATATTAACGTAATCGATTTACTATATATTGCTCCCATAGGCCATGCTCAATTGAACCATGTGAACTACGGATAACTCGGAATCTTCATGAGACTAAAATACATGTACCAGTACAAATATAAACTTTACAGCAGTCCTACATGTGAGATAATGTTGTACCAAGACTTGGCCATGAAATTATATCAAAGCAACGTATCTCACTCAAATCTCAAAAGGATTTGAGACAAAAGAGTGTAAAAACCCTTTATTAAAAAGGCTTTCTGGGGAAACGTCATCCAAACCCCGGTTTGCCCCGATTATGTCTAGGTTTGTCAGCACCATATCTTCATTGTGGGTTACACCAAAGTGGTAAACGGCTAAGAAGATCACTTCGGGCTTTCGTTCCACATCAATCTCACATGCCCTGATATAACTGAAATACTGTTAACAGCGGGGTTAAACCAATTGCACTCACACACTAAAAATGCTTTCTTGTAAAACCCATTATTTGTTTATGAAAAAAAGATTAATCTGTGATGGAATAAGTAAATTGCTTCACAATAAACAATATACATGAACATACCAAGTTTTAATTACGATTGCTGCAAGTGACAACGAAGGCACTTTTTACTTATTCACGAGTATCGAGATAGAATACCATGACATTGGGGCATGTTGGGTGAGTGAGATAACTTTAGCTGCATCGCAATTTCACGTAATAGTAGATCTCTACTTAATCGCTCAATTTCCATAAATGTATTGAGGGAGGTATTAAAATAGGATATCCTAACCATAGGTGGTCACACATGCAGAAATGCCGCAAAAAACAATATCCGTTGGGGTCATATCCCGATAGAGATGCAAATATCAAAGGTCAAGTAGGGACTACTTTCACTGTTTATAAACAAACATGGCGTAGCCCTTGTCATTCGGCGACCGAGTCAGAATTAACCATCTGGAATCTAGAGAAACTACTGGTATAATTGCTATCATTATGAAAAGAATAGTCTAATATATTGAAAACCAGTGTCTAACTGTGACTTAGCTAAGGCATTTTACACGTTTTGAGACTTTGGAGATATAAACTGCGAAACAATTTAGCGAGGGCACAAGCCAAGCAGGATCACTCTCCACATCTGTGCTTGTAGACCTCTGCGGCTTAGAACCTTTTCCACACATTAAAACAAATATATTCGAATTGTTACCTTGTTTCGTTTTATGGCTGTGTGCACTTTGTAATGTTATGACAGGACAGGCCGACTGTCAACATCGTCTGAGTGGCCGTGACAAATATGGGAAACACACAAAGGGTCGTTGACATTATCATTGACATTGGCCACTGGATTCTTCGCTCTACACAGTTTCATATTCGTGAACCATGGAGCCACCAGCAGGTGCGCGATCACCCAGAGTCACGTCATCAGCGTATGGCTTCAAGAGGTGATGGACACAGGATGTAGCCACGCAGTCCCCACACACATTGGTGACTGTTGCAATCCGACTCCTGAAAATGTAGATGTTTGTATATATTATACTTTGAATATCAAGACGTATGAAATCTCATTTCAAAACCAATAGTGAAAACATCAACAGAATAAGTTAAACATGGCGAGGATGGGTTTGGTATGGGGAGCTTTGTGGTAGAGTCACGTTGTTTTTTCTTTCCTCTTAACACAGAACTGAGTTTTTTCGGCACATTTCAAATTCAACCAATAGAAAGGTTGTTAAACGTTTCTCACGGATGTAGGTGATTTTAAAACAGAACAATGAAAATACCAGTATAATAAAGCAATTTATAAGTAAAGACCAGTTTTTAGAACACCAGATGTAACAAAACCCAGGTTGAAGTTTTCTTCAAATTGTCCTAAACTGAAAGTTGACAGTTGAAAGTTGACCTGTTAAGTCCAAACCACAAGTAGTGTTACAAAATGGTTGAGAATCAATCGCCCAAACACAACCAAAACAGTTTGCTGAGTAATGCACGTGCTACACACCCAAACCGTTGCGCAGTGATAATTAACATGCTGATAATAACGTTACAACTGAAAGAACAAGCCATCTGTATGATACATCAAGGAGCAATGCATGACCAAGGTGCAGGGAGTTTGGGCTGCAGCCGAAAGATAGTCACCAGGCTGATGGTCTGTTAGAGGCACACTGGACAGACGGAAGACAAACCTATGACGGACAGACCTCCAGTCACCACCACCTACGACAGTCATCCTGTCAGTCCCTGGACAGTGTCCAGAAGACTGTATTGGTACTTTCCAAGGGCCCCCAATTGGCAGTTCAGGGTGGACGACAAGACAAAACTCAGGGTTGAAGTTTAAGAAGACAGTGAGTGAATGAGTTGGGTTTAACATCGCTTTTAACAGTATTCCAGTTATATCACGGCGTGTTAGCTTAATGTGGGAGGAAAGCCCGAAGTGATGCAGGTTTCAGACGTTTACTACTTCGTTGAAACCCACGAGTCAGGTAGGGTGCTGAGAAACCTAGAAACATAATTGGGGTGAACTGGGATTCAAACCCGCAATCATAGGTTTCTGGCATGCCCAAGGGACGCAAGCCTACACAGCAAATCGCAGTGCCTTAGACGACTGGGCCACCCGTGCCCCCTTTAAGAAAACAGCGGCCATGTGCCATGTTTATTGTTTATTGTTTGTGAACGTCATGGAGCTTTTGTCCTCACAATAGTGACAATATTGAAAGTATATGTATAGAGTCAAATGCATGTCTCCAGTTTTGTCCTCAAGATGGTCATAATTACATCATCACAAAATAGAAACATCTGACGCTAGACACACTAGACTCACAAACCGCAGCCATAAGGCAAGAATGTTCCAGACAGGTGCAAGAAATGTTAATGTTCAGTCCAGTTTTTCTGAATGATAGACTCCCATTGTCATGGTTAAAAAACATGATAGCTCTTCTCGCTTTGTCGTTGGTTATAGACACCTCAATGTAGTTACTAAGCCTATATTTTCCCCTCTACCATACTTTGAAGATATTGTTGATGCCGTAGGAGACAGCCATGCCAAAATTGTTTGTCTGCTTGATTGTTCAAGTGGGTTTTGGCAAATACCCCGCCACCCAGGAACAAAACACAACTCGGCCTTGAATCAAGCCAATGGTGCTTTGGAATGGAATCGCCTCCCTTTTGATCTAAACAAGGCTCCTATGGCATTTCAGCAAACCATTTCAGAGGCTCTAAAAGAAAATAATTGGCGGTACATACTAATGTATGTAGATGACATCTCTTAAACGTTTGAATCACCTCAAGGCAGTATTCCAAAAGATCAAAGAAGCAGGACACACTCTAAAACCAAGCAAATGTAACTTCGGACAAAACAAGTCACCTACTTAGGGCCTATCTTCAGCAAAATTGGCATCCATGTCGATCCTTCAAAAAAAGATTCAGTCACACAGTCATTTCTTAGGTTTGGCCTCGTATTAACGAAAATTTGTAGCAAACGTTTATGGCATCGTCTTCTCTCAATACAACCTTCTGAAAAAAAGATGTGTCTTTCGAATGGTCCAACATTTGCTACAAGCTAAAGCAAGCCTTTACAACAGGCCCCAGCCCTGCAAATCCCAACCACAACAAACCCTTCATCCTCACAATCGGTTGCATGCATGTTAGGCCAACTTGATTCTCATGGAGAAACTTGTAAGAATGTTGTTAATGCATGTCTTTTGACAATACAAGTGTCTTCCATGACATTGGTTCTATTTTTAGGGACAAACAGTATTGGTAACGTTTCTTTTGCTCGTCGGTTAAGGTTATTGCAAAAAACTATTTGTATTTATATGTATATATGTTTATGTTGTAATTTCTGTCCAGTAAGGGTAAATGGTGTGAAATGGTCATTTCACATCACAGTCAACAACTGTTTCAGTCATATCACAGCCGGACTAGTGTAGTGAATAACAATGTCCGAGCATACAACACAGTGACTTGCTTGATGTGGCCTCTTGACATGGAAGATTTGAAATGATTAACAATTAAGAGTAACTGTACCTCAAGGTACCGGTCATGTCTCTCTTTCAAAAGATTATGGCTTTGCTCACCCTGTATTAATGATGATGGCCATACTGCGGTCGATACTTTTTATTGAGGCTGAATTATGTTTTTTCAAGCAGATGGAAGCTGAGTTTTTTATTTCCACATAATTATGAGTTGTGTGTTTATTCAACCCCCTTCTCCCTAGAAGTCAAATTGTCCGCCCAAAAGTCACACTGGTGATCAGGTGGTTCTATTTGATCATGTGGTTGTTTCTTCCAGACTCAATTACTTACTGGATGTGCTGATATTGCTGGAATATTGCTTACTGCTGTGTTAAGAAACAAACAAATAAATAGTACTAACGTGAACCAGTCGACAGCGAGGAGCAGGGGTATGTCGTGTGTGGGGAGTCCGGCTGAGTTCAGTATCATGAGAAGGGACGGGATGCCACTGCCAGGGACACCAGCAATTCCAATACTGGCCATGATGTTGAGGAGGCTGCAACACAGCATGGTCATATCCAACTAGCCTAAGCTCACATCATAGAGTCTTCTTCTGGTACTGCAGACTTATATCTGCACTCCATTTCTCTCGACATAAAATGACAGGCAGAAGAGAGTACATACACGTTTGATGGTGGCTAAAAGTGAAACACGCAAGATATGGTAATTCGATGGGATGTTTGCACAAAGAAAAAAGTTAAGCACACCCTAATATGTTTCATTATTGTTTGGTCCCTATATTTGTAACAGTCATTAAAAGATAGAATTACGGAAAGAATTATGTTTTCTAGAGATGACATAATCAGTCATGCGTGTTGAAAGCTAACGTGCCATGCATGGTATGCCCGTGCAGCATGCTACCCTCGAGTATCTCTAAAAGCAGTATATCCAAACGTTAAAATTGCTTTCTTAAGCTCAGTTTTTAACAGTTATTTCATGACATTGTGTGACCATGGCATGAAGGCAATTTTTCAAACGCCACAAGAACGCCATAACGCAGGAATGTCTTTTAATGCCATTGGTCGGAATTTGGGGCATCAACACACTGTCATAAGCTGTGATGCTCAGACCGGTGATGTACAGGACCGTCCCAGATCCAGAAGACCTCCTGTGACGAAACATCGCAAAAACAGGGACCTTCTTCGTCTCATACGCAGAGAACCCTTTTTAACAAGTAATCGTCTGAAACAGCTTTGGTTGCCCAATCATCGTTTCAGCACCAGAACCGTCAGGAACCGGTTGAAAGTAGCAGCACTGAGGGCTAGACGAGTCATAAAGCGTCCCTTGTTGAGAGATCACCACAAAGCTGCTCGTTCAGCATGGTGTATTGTGTGACAGAACTTGAATCTGAGAACTTGGAGATGGATCCATTGGTCAGACAAAAGTCGCTTTCTGCTCAATGTCACTGATGGAAGAACGAGAGTTTGGAGGCACCGGAACAAGGCCTACCTTGCCTACCTAATCCAATTATCATGTGTATTCTTTCTTTTGTCCGACAGTTTATAATTACCAGTTCCCTTTATTTCGATTTAACAGAGCTCATGAAAGACCTCTGTACCCATTTGATCCACAGGAAGGTTTGTCCAGTTAGGTTCTGTTCATTATCATGGAATGCCTAATCCATTGTTCACATGTACATTCCATATATACACTGAAACCTCGTTAACACGGACTCCACTACGACAATGTTTCTGTATGATGCTAGCGATATTCCAAATGCCACTATGTTCTTGATGGACAAAAGTTGATTAACTAGCAATTCGGAAGTGCTGTCATCATGGGAAATGGAGAGAACATATCCTGACGTCCCTCACGGCTGTTGTATTACAACAGTTCAGAGCTATCAGAGAGTTGGGAACCACATAATGAATATCCAGAATTCTTTAAGAAATTAAATGATCCTTTAGCTCATCACATGTCTACAACCCGCCCCACGTCAGGTTTTCCTTTAACTAAAACACTGTGATGTAATTAAAATGCTGTTCAAAGTGCCGTCAACCTGCCGTCAACGCATATTCGTGGATCCACAATCCTTAATCAAGATAAATAGTGAAACAGTTTTGATTAATTTCAAAGTAAAATAAAGTATCCGTTCTTACCAAAGATTTAAAACGTTGGCCAACCCAAGACTTATACCGTTAAGTTGAGCAACATAAACTGCAGAAATGCAGTTGATCATAGCAGATCCATCCATGTTGATGGTAGCACCTATGGGCAGCACAAAGCGGGCGATGCTCTTGTGAACCTTCAAGTTCTCCTCACAGCAACGTATAGATACCAGCAGTGTAGCAGAGCTGTGGACACACCATTGTTAGTTATTTTCACCGCTATTTGCTTTTTACGCACAATTGAATATGTTTCAGCGGATAATTGAGACTGATTATGCCCTGGTGTCGACGTGCTATGTTCTCTAAACATACGTAAACTCTAACTAAACCAGTTATTTCGAGAAACTAGAAACTTCATGAACATACAGTTTGTCAATGTCTTTAAATGTTTCATCTTTTTCGCTTGATTTGCTTTCACACATAAATCCTATATTAGCTGTAACCAACGTTTGTAGCAAGATCATCAAACTCCGATATTTAGCAAACTGAATTTGGGTTCAAGATCCAACATTCCACGAACCTGGACTCAGTCGCTAGTGCTGTGACCAGGGCTTGTGCAACTCCATACAATACCCTGTAGGGATTTCTCCGAGTGACAATAAAGTACATCAATGGTACGACCAGGAACATATGGATGATGACACCAGCCAGACCCGTGGCCATGTATATCCCCAGATGACGCACTGTTCCTGTCAGATCCTGCACAGACAGAATCTTTCCAGCAATGAGACACAAAATCCCAATTGGAGAAAACCTGAAACAGCAGACCATTCGTTTATGGGGAGTTCTCTAACACTTCAGAATTCAGAATTAATTATCTGTGCGTCGGAATCGCCACCTCCAATTATTTCCAGATATATGTTGTTGTAGTGTTTACTTTTTCACACAAATATCCAGAGTTCAATAGAGAACCCCATTCCTTGACGTCAAATGCCTCATAACCAGGGTTGTAAACAGAGAGCAATGCCGTATAAGGGTGTGGTAGATTTGGTATATTGTAACCATCCCTTCCTGCTTCCCACTATTGAGCACATAACGTTACAAAATTGCTTGTCATGAAGAAAGCTCTGACAAATACAGATTATACAACGCAGCCGAATATATAGTTAATACAGCTAACATACACATAATTGGATCACATCATTTATAAGAAATGTGTTGTAATTTCAGCCGCGTGGCCCTCATTTTTGTGTCAAGACAATAGCTCACATTTGGACTGTCTATAGCAATCCCTCTGGTGTGAGATTGTAATCCAATGCAAGAATTTATAAGCAGGCAACAAGCTTATTGTTAATAAACAAATACATACCACATCGCTATGTGCACCATTTTCATCGTGACGTTATTTAGTGTGTTAAAAAAGCCGAGCATGTGTTTTCCACTGTCACCGAGCCTGCCAAGGATCACTCCGAACACAGCACAGTACAACAGCATACCTGTTAACAGCATTATAGGATATATGCGGTTGAACAGAAAATAGGTGTTGCCATGCATGATCCTATTTCAGTAATCATTCCATGCTTTGTGAGAAAAGAAAGTTGCGCTACGAGGGGAGGCTGAAAGGGACTGATCCTAACTATGATGGACTGTGATGGGGTTGCCTCCTGATGAGTTGTCAGCAGCATCCCCTCCGAGCCTAATACATCTGTCAACCACATTTGAGTGCCTGGCACTAGTGTAGATGGCTTCCTCCTCCTGGCGTTAAAAACCCTCCAGAGACAAAACGACGTCATCATCATTTGCCAGACATTTATCTAAAGTGAGTCAACTACCAAAGAAATGTTTGGGCCGAGACGTTAACACTTCGCCCCACTGCGTTTTAAATCGAATATATTAATTTTCATAACGTTTTTCTTTACTTATAAACACAAGAATCTCTGCAAATGAACCGTTCAACAAAATCAGTAATGGTACTCTCGTGTCACTGGATTTTCTGGTTCATCGATCACTTGATTGTCTGGTTTGTTTACCGACTGGCCGTGCATGGCACGAGGACTGCTGTGCTGTGTCAGGCAATAAATACCTACTTTTTTGTGAATGGCGGGTGCCACCGACAGACCGGACACGCTTACCCTTTTCGCGAACGCATGGTGTCATCACCGCTTTTCAGTGTTCCATTCATATAATTTCCACAGCTATTTGCCAAGTGGAATCCGTTTGTGGTTATTCTCTTGCATTGGCAATTGATATTTTCTTCAAGTTTGGGAAGAGGTGAAAAGCTGACGGTGCCAAATCTGGTAAAAACGGAGCTTTGCTATTTCCTCGCAGTGGGATCTGCAGATTGCACAATAGTGGCTATTAATGGTCCGACCTTTCGGGAGGTAATCTACTCGTTTAGAATGTCCGTGAACTGACGTCATCCCTGGCTGGTAGTGGTGAACCCAAGACTCATCCATGCTTACAAATCGTTCAACAAATATGTACAACCGCCTCCGTGGTGTAGTGTATAGAGCATCTGCCAGGAGAGCGGAGGTCGGTGTCTCCAGCCACATCATACCAAAAAAGACGTTAAAAGTTGGCACTTGTTCTTACCCTGGCTCATGCCATTAAGGGGATATGACAAGAACTAGGAGTCAGTACAGTGTGTCTGATTGGGGTTTCCATGATAAACAGCGGCATCGTGGGCTAGCAATATGAAAACAGGCACACACACACACACACGCACGCACGCACACACACACACACATGCATGTCGCTATATAAGTGTAAAAATCTTGAACGCGACGTTAATTCCCATTTCACGTCATCTCACCTCTGAATGTGTTCACATCAAACCATTACAGAGACCAGGGTATTTTGATGTTGTTAGCCATGTTAAAACGAAAGCCACAGCAAAGTTTTCCCTTTCAAACTGCTCTACATCCAATACATGATGTAAGACCACATGTTTTAACACATAGTTTGTTGCGACTAAAATATCTGTTTTGGATCTTTTCTGATCACAAGCCGCCACTAATGACCCACCTATGGCATTAAGACCAGGTTGGAAGGTGAGTTTTCCAACCCATTTCTCGTCATTTCGGACGTCGGTGGATGTATTGACAGACGTATTACTTGACGCAAAGAACCTCGTGACTCCAATCTCCGTCTCTTTCTTCGTGGAACGAAGTTCGAACACAGTCCGTGTGGACTGAAACGCAGCACGTACCATGTTGTCTGGAAACATGTTCCTTCAGAGAAAACGTAAAAATAAAAACATTTACATAAAACACTAGAAAATAACCAGTCTCGATTATCCGTCAAAACAACGTTCGAATAAGGCTCTGTAACTCGAAGTCTTTTACATCGATGTATCGTTAAAAGCGATTAAAGTTGGTGTTGGTTTTTTTTCTCACAAAACAAACATGGAGTTACAATATTAGCGATCTCCTTACCTACGGGCGACAATAGCAGTCAGATAACTGCGATGCCTGATTCAGCTTGACAAAAGCACTCAAGAAACAGCTTTTTGACACCGACATTTTAGTTTCTGAATTGGCACTGCAATCGTCAGAAATTATGATAGTGACGTCTCAACTATCGAGACAGGAGTAAGTATATTCTTATGTGAGACTACTTGCTTAATGCACATATAGTGTTCCTTGTTTAACGCCGCACTCAGCAATTTTCCAGCTATATGACGGATGTCTGTAAATTATCAAGTCTGGACAAGAAATTGCAGTGATTGACATCATGAGCATCGATCTACGCAATTGGGATACGATGACATGCATCAACCAAGTCATCTAGCCTAACCGCCAGATTCCGTCAGGCGCATATTACAAGCGTGGATCGCTGAAGACCTATTCTAAACCGGATCTTCATGGGTTTAATATGGACCCAACGTAGTGACCGTGAACTTACATTATTTTATCTAACAAATTATAAAAAAGAAAGAATTAATACAAGTTGTCAATGTCTATAGTGATGATGGTGTTAAACCTCAAATGATTTCACTTACATTCAGTGATTACATGCAACTTGCCACCCGTGAAGATCCGGGTTAGAATAGGTCTTCAGCAACCCATGCTTGCCGTAAAAGGAGACTATGCTTGTCGTAAGAGGCGACTAACGGGATCGAGTGGTCAGGCTCGCTGACTTGGTTGATGTATGTCAATCTTATCCACGTTGAGTAGATCGATGCTCAACCACTGGATCGTCTGGTCCAAACTAAATTATTTACAGTCCGCCGTCATGTAGCTAGAATATTGCTGAGTGCGGAGTTAAACAACAAACAACCAAACAAACCATACAATTTGCTTTGACATTTTGTTTCCGTATTCAAAACTGACTTTGACTTTGCCAATTCCATCACCAACAAATCAATAATATTATTAATTGTTTTACTTCCATAGCAATCTACATTGCACAAAAATATTAAATGAATAATTTCATTTGATATCTTTTATAATTATGCACGTACAACCACACATGAACAGTCAGTATCAGTTACATCTATTAAATATTTCAATACAATCACATTATTATGACATTTTAATATAGGATTCCGACATATCTATACTGAACCGCAAAAGAAACGTCACCTCAAGTAACATTGCATGAAAAGTTGTCATTTGAATACCAGGGTAATTTTTGTCAAAGTTTCTAAAATTAAACATGGCCTTTTCCGGAAAAATGATATTTGATGATAAAAAAAACAAAGCAGATGATAATAGAACCGATCGCCCAAACTCATCACGGCAACGGCCATGGTAACCCGATGCAAGTGAGTTCCTTGCAAATTGAAATGCATATGCGTTCCCCCATCTCTTGCCCTATAAACATCAACCCAGATCGGATAACATTCATTCCTTATTGAATTGCTACCACATGCCAAGATTGACAACAAATCAGCGACACCAAGCCCTTGGACGATTGCAAGGTGGACAAACTGCCCGGCAAGTAGCCAATGCATTTCAAGTCCACGTAAGAACCAAATACAGGCTCCAGCAACGGTACCAGACCACCAACACTACAGATGACCGACCACGTAGTGGAAGACCAAGGGTCACCACCCGACGTCAGGATCGTCAGATTGTGCTACAGCATCTTCAAGATCGCTTGATTACTGCTTCGGAAACTGCTCAACAGACCAGACGCCTCCACTGTCACAAGCCACACCGAGGAGCCATTCTGACACCACGTCATTGCTTGGACCGTCTTCAGTGGGCAACACAGCACCAGCATTGGTAGTCTTCTCAGACGAGAGCCGTTACTGTATCTCAACAGCAGAAGAGAGAGAGAGAGTCTGGGAATTTTATTCGGATGCTTGCGTTGTTGAGAGAGAATCGTGGGGTGGTCCAAGCATCATAGTGTGGGTGGAATTCTTTTTGCACAGAGGGTCGGCCCTGTGGTCTTCCAGAACATCGGTCCTTGGAGAGACAATGGTATCATAGCAGCTCGGTACATTGATTAAGTCTTGACACTACACGCCATACCTCATTTGGCACGTCGCCGCAACCACGAGTTTCAGCATGATAACGCCCGTGCCCACACTGCGAGAGCAACAAGAGACCTCCTCCAGCAGAATGGCATCAGAACCATGCAGTGGCCTGCCCTCCCGATTTAAATCCCATTGAGCACCTGTGGGATGAGATTCAAAGATGACTGAATGACGTCTTACCAAGGCCGACAACTGCAGCTGACCTGCGTCAGGCGTTCCTCAGAGTGTGGGCTCAAGTGCCTATGGCCTTCATCAACCGCCTCATCCATTCCATGTACCGACACGAGATACTGACTTATGATGCCATTGTCTCAGAGACTGGTGTTGTGTTTCACTTGAAGAACATTTGACACTTTAACTTCAACCTTGATGATCAGTTTTGCTAAGTTTCTTCTTTTTAATATGTCTCAAAGTATGTTTACAAATAAGGTTTCTCATATATCTTTCCATGGTGACGTTTCTTTTTGTGGTTCAGTATACATGGAATGCTTTGGGGGCTGAATTTTAATTCAAATCATGATAAATAATATTTGATTATAGACACTCTTCTATCCACCACATCCGTGGCGATCCAAACCGCCTCCGTGGTCTAGTGGTAGAGCGTCCGCCTGGAGATCGGAAGGGTCAGGGGTTCCCCGGCCGCGTCATGCCAAACAATTAAAAGATGGCACTTCTTGTTTCCCTGCCTGGCGCTCGGCATACAAGGACTGATCGGCTCGGAGTCAGTATACTGTGTCTGAGTGGGGTATTCATGTTGAACAGCAGCATGTTATCTAATGGGCTAGCACTGTCCACTCGGCATTCGTCCGGACTAGTGCAAGCAGCCACACAAACACATGTGCATCCACGTCGCTATGTAAATGCAATAATCTCAGACGCGACGTTAAACCCCATTTTATCTCATCATAATCATTGTTATCCAGGGACCGTTAAATAGCTGGGTTCTTGTGACCGCAGTGTGATGCATTTATCACTCACTATACTCACCTGACCAGATCTAGAAGCACCTGTCCGGGGGTTGGAGAGTGTGCGGGGGTGTCAAGTGGTACAGGGGGGACTGTAGAAGTCATCTGTCCAGGCTTGATGGTGAACACCAGCATCACGCCAATCATCAGCGCGATCACAGTAGAGGCAATATAATAGCCCATAGTGATGAGTCCCATTCTTCCCGACGACTTGCTGTCCACATTTGCAATACCTGACAATCAGCAAAACAATCACACTTCAAATGTTTTTACTCTTTGTAAACTCCTGTACATTTTTGACGGAATAGGATTAACATATTTGTTGGTTGTAGAATGATCCCAAATACCTTCATATACCTATATATATACAAAATGCAAATACAAAGATGGGCTGTATAATTTACTCAACCTGTTTCACGAATGTCATTTTCAAGAGTACATATATTTGCGAAGAATCCGATAGGCTTTTGTATATAAATATGTAGGATATAAATAAAATCTAATATAAGAATATGATTTAAATATTGTGACTTTTAAGAATCGTGATATGGTAAATACAATACAGCTCCTGAATAATACTATATAACCTGTTCGTAGCGCATACAGGAATCATTCTGGCGTCAGTTAAACTGTAATGTGTTCTACAAGACTGACGGTCGTGGTTCGCTGTGAACACTCTTATCTCCCAGCAGGAACTTGATACTAACGATCATGGTCCTGGTTCAAGAGCAGTACATTTCAAAAATATTACCACATACACAGATTAAGCGAAAACATCATTGCAGAATTAAGAATATTTGCAACAGGCGTGTTGACATTTTTCTTTGGCACTCACCTGTGATCATGCTTGCAACAATCAATGGGAGAATAAGCACCTTCAGCATCCTCATGAATATCTCGCCCGGGAATCCAATGAGCTGGATGGTTTCAGGGGAGAGGTTCAGCTGGCGACAGAACACCCCGACCGCCCCTCCCACCACCACAGACATGACGGTTGCTATCAGCAGTCCATGGTCTCGGAAACACTTGTGCGCCATCACCCTGAGACGTCACGTGTGTAGTTATGATACATACATAATGTATTGAGGTAACTATGACATACGTCTGAGGGGTACTCGTATTTGTATCTCTGTCACACGTGAAGAAACTACACTCCTGGGCAAAAGAAAGTATACACTTGAAAAATGGATTTGACGAAAAACTAAACTAAATAACACAACTATGATACCCGTATCAAATACATCACCATCGAGTAACCATTTCTTGTTTGTTTTATTTTTAGCCACCTTAAAACACAGGGGTATACTTTCTTTTGCCCGGCAGTTTACATACAATGAAACTCGAGACAAACTAAGAACATTCCGTCACCAAAGTGAAATTGAGTTTAACGTCGCGTTCACGATTGATTCTATTATAAGTGACGTGCACTTGAGCAATACACATCATGTACAAAACCAGTAATATTATTATATATTGTGTGACGCTCTTTCATGAAATATTCAACTTGTGGAAGGTGGATATTATTTACATGTACACGGACGAGTCTCATCACGTCCCTATCCCGGGCTTCTATTGTCTGATTTCTGCCTGATGTTCAGGTTGGATCTTGTCAACGTATGCCTGCATTCATTTTGGGGCGGTGACATTGTTTAGGAGTGTCTATGCTGAGAGACATTCTCTCTGAGGGGTGTGGGATTGTCCGCCCCACGAGAATATCCGACCCAACGTGACCTATTGTCAGGGGTGAAGGCGTGTCCAGTTTGTATGGAATAAAACGTCATCACAAAAAATACATACACAGTTGCATGTAGATTCATTGTTGATAGTTTCTTCTTTGTGTAGATAATTCCATGTAGAAATCTGTATTGAAAATCTAAACGTTTTAAATCCTTCAGTTTACATCTACAAAAAGTGAATATTTTTTATCCAATTAAACTCACAGTCAAAAATGTATTGCCATTTATCCCAATCTTTAAGATTATATTCATTTGATATTAATTTGTCATAAAAGATTTCAGCGCCTTCAACAGGTTTCATTAGATCACTTAAGCAACTGTTCATATACAAATTCTTTTTTCTTGTTTTTCATGTGTCTGGTATATTGAAAAGTCAATTTGTGTAGTATAATATTGTACCTTTTATCGGGTATTTTAGTTTCAGTTCCTCAAATGACATGAATCCGTTTTCATTGCATATATCTTTAATTGAGTAAATTCCATTATTAGACGATTGTTTATGGAGTATGTTGCTTGTTTGAAGTTGTGATTATCCCATTGTGGTTTGGACAAAAAGTGTTCTACATTATCAGCATTAATAATATTTTTCTACAAAATTTGTTCCAAGCTTTCAATACATGTTTCCAGTAGGGTTATTCAACGTAAGATTGCTTGTCAACATGAGCACCCCAAGATAATCTATCTTTTATAGGGATATTACAAGGGTTACCATATGTTGTGTTTTGTACAATATAATCTGAACGTAGAAACTTTTAGAACGTCAATAAAGGCTGTAATGTTAATCATGGGTAATCCACCTTCCTCATATTTTCTTGTCAAAGTGGTCCTTTTGATTCTGTGTTTTTTGTTGTTCCAGATAAAATCGTAAAATATTTTGTCAAGTGATAAGACAAGGTCGTAAGGAGGGATTGGTAGTGTCGAAAATATGTGAACTAGTTTTGACAATGCTGAAGTATCTATGACTGTAATTTTTTCTATAAACGTTAGATTTCTAATCAGACATCCTACAATTTCAGCTGCTTGGAGGGAAATATATGGCGACAATGGGTCTCCTTGTCGACAGCTTCTTTCATTTGTGAAAACTTCTGATAGATGTCCAATTTGTATTATGATTCACGTAGTATCGTAAGTTAGTATATTTATCCACCTTAACATTTCGGTCCTAATTCATATTTTTGTAAAACTTTGTTTATAAATTGTTTTCATACCGTATCAAGGGCCTTTTCAAAATCGATCAGCAGAAGTAATCCTGGTTCATTTTGTCTTTTTGATTCAAAGATAATATCATATAACAACCTTGTGTTTTCTGAAATAGATCGTCCTGGAATAAATCCTGTTTGATTGTTATGAATGAGCAATTCCAATGTTGATTTTATACGGTTTGCAATACAAGTACTCATGATTTTATAGAGTGCATTCGATAAAGTTTTTAGTCTCAAGTGTTTTTTATCAATGTTCTGTCTTTATTTGATTTTGGTATACAAGTTATAACAAGTTATAGTACTTTTTACAAATATGTATATCCAGAATTTTAGTTCTTTCCAGAAAAAAATAAAAATATCAATAGGAAAGCCATACCGGGGCTCTCATTGTTTTTCATGTTTTTAACCGCAAATGATCAATTTCACTTTCTAATAAGTTTTTCATTTGGTCAACTTTTGTTTGAGTCTCTAAATTGGTTAAATTTTCGTAACTTCTGTCATTGCTATCAAGTATATAATTTTGTTATAAAAGATTCTAAACTCATCTAATATACAATTGCCGTATGTTATTACCGTTTCATCGCCAGTTATAACTTTATTTATTAACTTACTGACATAATTTCTGTTTTCAAAGTGGCAGAAATAACTTGTTGGCTTTTCTCCTTCCTCATACCATTGCATTCTATTTCTAATTTGTAATCCTCTTATTTCTTCTTCTTTTATATGTTTCATTTCTAATTTGTATTTTGATAATCCTGATAGATGTTTTTCATGTTTTCAAAAAAGAAAGAAATTGTTTTCCCTATAACTTTCATTGGGATCGTTTCTATTTTAAGTTTGATATCAAACTCACTTTGTTCGCTGTCACTATTCTCAGAACATTCTTTTTTAGTTTCTTCTATAACTATCTTAACCAAATCACATTTATATCCGGGTAAAAGTTTTTGTTTCCAATGTCATGTTTCTTTTGTCTTTAAACACTACAAAAGTCCAGCCTAGCTTGTCTTGGTCTTTTCTTCTACCATGTTAAAGGGCTATCTTTTTCAATTTATCTTCCCTTCTCTAACCCGCTAGGTGCGCTGACCCGGACGGTCCACGGCGGATGTGGTGGCCCAGTCGTCTAAGGTGCCGCGATTCGCTGTGCAGAGTTGCGTCCCTTGGTTACGCCAGAAACCTATGATTGTGGGTTCGAATCCCGGTTCGGTCCGATGATGTTTCTAGGTTTGTCAGCACCATACCCGTGCTCGTGGGTTTCACCGAAGTGGTAAACATCTAAGACCTGCATCACCTCGGGCTTTCCTCCCACATTAAGCTGACACGCCGTGATATAACTAGCATTCTGTTAAAAGCGGCGTTAAACCCAACTCACTCACTCACACTATGTCAATATAGATAAATAACATAAAAAGGGGCTGCAATATACTTTCATGTTTAAAGAACCAATTCATTGTGGGAACAATTGTAATTACTAACATAAGTTACTTTGACCTTTGTTATATCAAAACATATTTAAATTAAGATGAGGAGATTGAATTAAGGAGTCTTATTCATTTCAGTCCCATTCATCTGTCTAAATCCAGTCTAATTTTTCAGGCAATATGTATCAGAAAATCAGAAACGCTTGCTGAGTTCAAGCCCGTTCAAGCCACCTATTTCTTGTTTACCTCAGATTGGAGCTGAGATTTGAAGGTTGTTTTAAAATAAATACGAGGTAAGGTGACCACAGATGATCACGATTGTGTAGCCTATGGTTTGTTTAGCAAGTACCAATCACAGGAACTCGATGATAGCGTGTATAGCACAATATATTCGTATAGAAAAAATTACACCCTTATTAACATATCGACAAGGAGCGACATGCGCCATCTTGGTCCTTATTCAAGATTTCGCACTCAGTTCAATTCACAGCTTGATATCGCATGATATATGAATGTCACTCATTTCATCCTGATGGTACTTGATACACAAACCATAGGCTATGATTAAATAAGCTGTGGTCAAATCTAGATTTTCCTGTAAGGATAGTTATGTTGTCTTTAATTGCCGTATACAGCGTCATATTAGGTCAATGTAATTAGCCTTGGCATATTCAGTGTTCATTCAGACAATGGCTGTGCTGAATCGGTCGCTGTGACACTGCTGTTGATATATGCAATCTATATATGCATCACCTGAATTTATAGGTACCTCTGAGTTAACTGGGTCTCGTACCTTCTTGCATAATACACCTATTTGATCCCACGTTATTTTTTCAGCCATTTATGAGCATGACAAACCTTTGGTAATTTTACTATTTTCGTAAACGATTGGGACGGACGGTTGACAATGAAAAACTGGAAAAGTATGTAGCCATCGCGATACATATACGAAAAATATTACGTGTAATATTTGCAAAGAATCGGTATATTTATTGTAATGACTTTCCACGGTCTGTTACGATTGTCACATCAACCAGCTATAAATGAAATAGATTATGAATGCAAAATAATTATAGTTATAAATTTCAAATAAAAGGACTAAACCCGACTATATCATGAGAATGTGTTCATGAATCACTTTCAAATAGTGATGATACCAGATGACACCCCACCGATGACACCCGGCACAAACACATGCAAAGGCAAGTCAATTGTTCACCTGAAAAAACACACGGGAACATATGGAACAAATCAAAAGAATTGCATCGGACACATTTGTCAGCGATGCGTCAACATTTCAAATGTCCTCCACATGTCTACCAACGTTTTGAAAGCTTAACTTGGAAATGAGTGAGTGAGTGAGTGAGTGAGTGAGTTGGGTTTAACGCCGCTTTTAACAGTATTCCAGTTATATCACAGCGTGTCAGCTTAATGTGGGAAGAAAGCCCAAAGTGATGCAGGTCTCAGACGTTTACCACTTCGGTGAAACCCACGAGCACGGGTATGGTGCTGACAAACCTAAAAACATAATCGGGGCGAACCGGGATTCGAACCCACAATCATAGGTTTCTGGTGGGACGCAACTCTGCACACCCGTGCCCCCTACTTGGAAATGATTATTAATAATCAACGACTCACCACACGTCAGATAGCCAATACAATAGGCAAC